ACACGAAGCTATAAAAGCGCCACGAAACGGAGCTACCGAGGAGAGGATAATAGGAACCTCCGGTGGTTTTCAAAAACGAGCTTCTCCCGCGGTGTGTACACCGGCAATTTAATAACGGTACCGAGGCCGTGTTAAACTGTAACGGTTTACGAAATTAAGATTTTTCGGGGTAATGCGCCTGCCACATTAATTCCGTGCACTCTAATTTCAGGCCTGCGTATCGTATTAACGCGCGGTTTGATAAAATCCACCGTTTTCGCCCAATTAGCAATTTATTCGCGCGTACATCCCGTGCGAGGGGGGAACAATGATTTTGCTGTAGACACGCTATCGCGTATCGATCCGTGAAACGAACGAGAAAAAGAAGAAAGAAAGAGAGAAAGGAAAGAAGAAAGGCTATCGAGATTTTTCACGCTTCTCGCCAACGTTCCGATTAACAGTATAAACCTGACAAGAATGAATTAATTCGAGACGGACGAGGATTCTTAGGACGACGATCGAAGACGCATCGTATCTGACGGAACGTGTTACGACCGTTTGGTAGCCTCCTCTCCCGCCATTCATTAAGTTTCCTCGTGCTTACCGGCATACGTGACTTACCGTACCGAATAATTGGACTTTCGTTAAAGTAACAGTTGCTAAGATTTCGCGACGATCGTTTCGCAATTTCTCGGAAGATGTCGACCAGTTTTTATTGGTCAGGAGATTTTTCGATTCGCGTCACGAAATTACACATGTTCAAAGCATTGTATTTTCTTTTCCGACCGAGTTAAAAATAACGGAGAAGTGGAAAAAGTGGGACGGATAGAACGGATATTAGCAACGTTCCTTATTCAATATTCGCGTTTATACAAGATATTTATACAAGAGATATAGAAATCGAAGGATGCGCAGTACGCGCAGATCGAGGTTATCGTTAGCCGGATTGATGACGGAATATTGTCATTTCAATATCGTAGAACGTCAGAAACAACAGGATGCATAAATATTTTAACACGGGAACGAGTTTCATAAATATTCCGGATTACAAGTGGCCGTAATCGTCTTTGGAATTATCGACGATATCGGGACTGTTATCGTGAAATATTAGGTACAATTTAATACTTTGTCAGCACGTTGGTCTTGGCCGAGAATTAACGGCGAGGCCGGTGAAAAATACGACAGCGTCGGGTATAACGCGTACAATACGCGCGAAACGTGTAGGATACGAAACCGTAAGCGCACGATAACCAGAAATACTTATTGCACCGGGGACCGTTCCATGCCTTCCTGAACCCGATAGAATCGTCTAGTCGTGCGCGCGCGCTCAGGAGAGTAGAGAGTTCAATAATCTGCCGCGGCAGATCTTCTTGTCCGGCATTGAAGTCTCCAGCGGCGCTGCAGCATCTGCTGCCGCGATCGTGCCTCTGTCGTCGTTATTTCGCCAACAACATCGTGATCGTTTAAAATTCTTCTTTAAATCAATTATCTCGACGAAGTTTGCTTACGGTAATTGATCGCGCGATCCTTCAAACGACCTATTGCTTACCTTAATTAAAATAAAAAATAAAAACGAAACAA